GGGCGCCACCTCTCAGAAAGGCCTTGTCTTACGGCGGCCTCAGGCTCCTTCTTTCCAAATGAAACGAGAGCGTTTGTCTCAGGTGTTTTATGACCGTTGAGGGAGACCCCAGATGTCACCAGGCACAGACAGCTGTTCAGAGAGAAGATCTCTCTTGTTCAGAGGCTGGGGTTGGCACTTAAGGCTCACTTCATGTAAGAGGCCATTGGGTGTTAGGAAACCAGAGACTCCTAACTAGAAGACAGTGAATAGCCAGGGATGTAGTGCACACAGGTGCAGGGGAGGAGACCCGGAATGGCTGCTGGTTTCTGGAGGAACGTGAGCTGGGCTTGCATCCTGGGGCTGCAAACCCAGATCTGGGGGAAGTGGTGGTTGCAGATCCAATATCTGACACTCAGTGGACAGAAGACGTCCTGGGCAGGGCATCGGGGCTCTTGCAACTGCCATGGGATGAGTTACATTCCTGGTTGGTGCCGGGGACAACCAAGGAGCTGGACGACTTGAGGGATGCTGCTCCTGCCTAAGGAGAGACCAGGACTAGACAGGGAGATCTTGGTGCTCCCATCTGCCTAAGCCCGGTCACATACCAGGCAGACCCTCCTTGAAGGGAAAAGCCACTGCTGGGACCATCACTGAACAAAGGGCAAAGAGAATGCAAAAAGCACCAAGCGGGGGTTGGGGATGTGGCTCAGTTGATAGAGTGCTTGCCCAGCATGCACCCAGTCCTGGGATGAGTTCCCAGCACTACATAAATTGATCATGGTGGCATGTGCAAATAATCCCAGCATTTAGGAGGTACAGGCAGAACATCAGAAATTCAAGGTCATTTGTGGCTACATAGTGAGTGTAAGGTCAACCTGAGCTACGTGGGACCTTGTTTCAAGGAGGAAAAATCCTAAAGAAAGAGAAAGGAATAAAGAGGCAGACAGGGGAGGACGTCAGAGCTTCAGAGCTTGCTCCTGCTGGCTGGCATCTGTTATTTCTCCTGAGGTCTCTGGGGGCAGAAGAAAGCCACCACAGGGGCCTGAAAATGAGCTAAGCAATTGGTGGTGAGGGGTGAAAACCACTTGACACAAGGGCTTGTAGATGGACTCATGGCGAACACTAAGGACCAGTTGTGAGGTTCAGGGGTGCCTGTTGTTTCCCCGGTGGAGGTGTGCGCCCCAAAGGCAGGCGGTCTTAGTCTTAGCAAGGGGCGCAAAGCCTAGAGGTGACAATCTCAAATCCTGCCTCGCTTCCTGTCTTACCCATTTAATCATCATTATTGTATTAAAGAGCAGACACACCTGTGCTTTGAGAGCTGAATTCACGTGGATTTCAACTTTTCTGCTGTGCTCTCTTCTCAGTTTTGTTCTTCTAAGGCCAAACCTTATAGGGCTACTGTGAGGAATCAATTCATGGCACATGACCAGAAAACAAGCTCCCCGAGCCGGCTTCGCCCGTGGCCAGTTGTTTGTGTATGTCTAACTGCCCCCGGGTTCAGTAGTTGAGGTCCAAAGGGGTGGTTGTCATTAGCAAAGTTTGTTCTGTGGGAATTGGGTTGGGTGGGAAAAGGGTCCCAGGGGAATGGCTCAGTCCTTCCATTCTGACCTCACTGCAGCTTACACACAGTGTCCAGGGCCCTTGTAACAGCAGCTCGGATCCAGTCTGGGCAGTTACCCGGAGTGACGCGGGGGTCCTAGCAATGGAAGCCCAGAGAATGCAGGAGAGCCTTGATCTGGGCTCCTTCGGCTCTCTGTCACCTCTTCTGTATTGTTCGGAGTAGGCCAGAGAAACTAGTCACGACAAGTAGAACAGTGTCTTCATTGCAGATGACCTAGAAATGGCTTCCTCCCTCTGGATGGTGTCACCTGTAGGACTGGGCCTGCGGTTGGTGTGACCGTGCTGCCAGAGCCTTGGTGTGCTCTCTAGATGCCCCGGCCTCTCCAGATGATCTGGCTCCGCTCCATTATCACTCCAGGCTTGCAATTGTCATCAGGTTTTACATAGGTCAGATCTGGCTAAGCCCAGGAAACAGGCTGGATTGTAGCTTCAGACAGAGGCCCTGCTCTTGCCGAAGTCCGGCTGAAGACTAGAATGGAAGGATACAGCACTTCCAGGGGACTGGGAGTGACCCAAGGCAGAGAGTGCAGGTACAGAAACCTCGACCAGGAGCCTCCAGGAGAGCAAATTTCTACCTGCCTGCCAGCTCCTCTCTGCGGCTTTCAAGACACTTCCAATAGCCTCCTGAGCTACCGGATACCCTAGCCCAGTGGTTCTCAACCTTCCTAGTGCTACAATACTTTAATATAGTTCCTCGCGTTGTGGGGGCTCCCAACCATAAAATTATTTTGTTGCTACTTAATAACTATAATTTTGCTACTGTTATGGATTATAATATAATATTTAATAGGCAGGATATCTGATATGAGGCCCCCAAAGAGGTTGCAACCTCCCCTCTCGCCTTTCCCCACAGCCTTCCTTGGAGGGAGCCAGCAGTGACCACAGTTACTTAGGCTCTGCTTTTGTCTCCCCTGCTTGTTTGTGGCTTGTGTTAGCAGGTACCAGAAGGATGGTTAGATGAGGACCAGAGCTAGGACCCTGTGGTAGGCAGAAGATGAAATAACGGAATTTGTACATCAGCTGGAGATAGGAGCGGGTGAGGTGTTCTTCCTTCTAAAATAAGGTCAGTGGCCTCAGCTACCAAAGGAACCGAGTCAGTAACACAAACAAATGGGACACAATTCTCCGGGGACCTTCCCTGGGTTGAGGTGGAAGGGGTTTATCCCTAGACAGCTGAGGAGCACACCAGGTGGGGGCTGCCAGCATACTGTCCCTCTGTTGAACCCTGATGACTGATGAGGGACCATGTGTGAGGAGTGAACCAGGCTTGGCTGCTGTGTTCAAGGATGACAAAGTGACAACCTGTGACCAACCAAGGGCTGGATTTGTGTGCCGTGTTCTGCCCTGGCTCAAGTTCCTGGACAAATCTGAGGCAGATGTTTGTGGAGAAGAGCCAGCAGGGAGGGTGCTGAGAAGGTAGACACCCTGGGGCAGGCGGCAAACAACCAGTACTGTGGTGCTGAAGGCCCTCTGCAGTCCTGGGGGAGGAGGCACCCCGGAATATTTGCTGGACCTTTGACTCCCCCACGCTGACTAATGTCTGCATGTTCACCTCTGTCTGCTGCTCACCCCAGCATCACCTTGGGTGAGCCAGCATCCTGAGAGGAATTCACTAATGAGCAGCTGCAGAGATGGGGGACTAAGTTGCCATACCCACTCTGGTGGTGTTTTTTGTTTGTTTGTTTGTTTGTTTTAAATCTGGCCTAGAGAATAGAAGCAATCATGGAGGTCTGCATGGCAGAAGAGGCACTTTGAAACTTCCTAAATAAGCAAGATGGTGATTTCTAGGCACAGGGACAGGACAGAGAATAGTAGAGGCATGTTCAGGAACCAGCAGGGTGGACTCAAAGGGCCTGCTAAGAAGACAGTCTGCACAGAAAGACAAGGATGGAATGCTGGCGCAGCTTGCTGGTAGAATTGGATTGTCCTCTGTCACCTTTGTACCTGGGTGGGAAGGGATTTTCACAAGTGAGTAACTCAAGGCAAGGGCCAGGTTCTGGGGCCAGCAGTATGCTAGCCCTGGGTCTCCGGGACAGAGATGGGAGAGCCAAGAGGTAGGGAGATCAAATCCTGTGGGGAGAAGCAAGGATGCAGTGACCCACTGATGGGAGGAGAGTCTCAGGCCCAAACCAGCTTGATGAGGGGAAGCAGAGTAGGGTGGGGCTGGTGGAGCAGGTGGTTTCTGCTTATGGATCTTGGGTTGGGGAAGCCAGGAGGCCAGGACTGGAGGGCTGACTCCAGCTGTTGCTGTAGACTCGGGTAGCAGTTTGCTTCCAAGCAAGCAGACCTTAGGCAGATGGAAGGAGAGCCATCCTTTCAGAGGAGCTAGGTTAGAGGCATGTCTGCTTCCTGAGGAAGCTCCTGCAGCCCCTTTTTTGTGGAACCCAGAACCTCATATGCTAAGCCTGAGTCCTACCACTACCTCACATCTCCTTCAACTAGGACGTAGAACGGGCTGGGCATGGGGGCACATGACTGTCGTCTACACTGGGGAGACCGGATAGGATAGGAGAATCACAAGTCACCCTGCCTACATGATGACACCACAGAACTAAAAACAAAAACAAACCACCTAGCAGGACAGAACAGTTGAGTCTGAAGGTATCTGAGGCTCATCCGTTGGCCAAAGACCATCCTTTTGCAGACTTGCTCTGTGCTTTGAGGTTTGAGGTCACCACGGGCTTTGAGAAGAAATGCCCTGTTTGCAGCTGGGGATTCTGGGACAGAAGCTGAGAGGAGTGACTTGGGAGGATGGGGCACTGTCCTGTTAGGGTTTTTACTGCTGTGGAGAGACACTGTGAGCACGGCGACTCTTATAAAGGAAAGCGTTTAACTGGGGCTGGTTTGCAGTTTCCGAGATTTAGTCCATTATTGTCAAGCGCGGGCAAACAGGGTGCTAGAGAAGGATCTGAGAGTTCTGCGTGTTGATTCACCTACAGCAGGAAGTGAATGTCACACTAGACATGGCTGGAGCATTTGAGACCTCAAAGCCCATCTCTTAGTGAGGCACTTCCTCCAACAAAGCCACACCCACTCCTACAAGGCCACACCTACTGCAGCAAGGCCACACCTCCCAATAGTGCCAGTCCCTAGGAGTCTATGAAACCGTGTTAATTTCAAACTACCTCAGAGGGTAAGGTAGAAGATTCTAGCTGGAAGCCACCTCCTCAGATAGAGAAGGTCCACCATGTAGAGAAGAGCCTTGGCTAAGAGATGCTCTGCCCCGAAAAGGGTGGGGTGGAGAGTAGGGGTCATCAGCAAGAAACAGGCTCCCATGGGGCTGAGGTAAGAAAGGAAGGTGACCTGCTGCCTCTGGCACACTCTGCTCTGTACATGAGAATCTATACATGTACCACCATGGGATTCTCAAAGTGATCTCATTTTTTTCCTTTGTCTAGAGACCACCTGGGAACGGCCCAGCAGTTCTCCTGGGGTTTCAGCCAGCCCTGGCCCTCACAGGAGCTCTCTGCCTCCAACAGGTAAGGCCCGCTCATCAGTTTGGGTGTGGGAGGGTTACTAAATACCCACTTTCGTGGGGGTGCTGAGACGGTGGGTCCTGGGTCCTGAAACCTGACATGGAATCTTGTGGGCTGGACCTGGAGATGATCCAGACCAGATCCCAGAAGCCTGATTCCAAACATGGCGCTAACGTCCAGGCAGGACCACCTGCAGTTCTGGGCTCTTGACGGCTGCAGTGCTTAGGAGGGTTGGCCGGGAGAGGTCAGAGATCCTTCCAGGTCCAGAACAGAACAGCACCACATAGCTCTATCAGCACTGAGGAGTGGAAGCTAAAAGAAAATGGAGGTTTGCAGGGGAATTCCTGGACGGAATGTTCTAGAAAGGAAATGGGATTGTGAGGATGTGAGTTGCCGGCAGAGGTAGCTGGGTAGCTGAGTGGTGGCATTTGAGGTATACATTCCTATACTAGGGATGAGAATTGTCCAGAAATGTCTTAGGTGACCTCTGGTTCTTAGATGCGAGGAAGGAGACAGGGCTTGCCAGCCGGGAGACCAGCTTTTGATTTCTTCTGGGTTTCCCTCCTTCAGGCAGCCTCCCTTGATTGCTCTGTTTGGAACCCTCAGCCTCTCAGTCTGCATCCCAGTGTGTGGCCTTATTGCATTCAAAGTTCTTCTCCTGTTGAGGCTGTCCTCCCATGGTGTACTGAGGGGAGGGATGGCACCTCTAAGTGTCCACACAGAGCCTGGCTTTGTTGCTGCATGCATTCACAAGCCATCGGTTGCCTAACACAGAGCCCCCACACACAGGTGATGAGTGCCCTGTGTTGTCACCCCTTGGGTCTCTCCTCCAGGATGGAGTACTTAGTGAATGAAGCTGGCTTGAACCTCCACCTAGAAAAATGTCAAGAGCACACCTCAGCCCAGCATCAAGTGTGCTAGGCCTGTAAAAGATTAAGAATGGTGGAGCCATAGTTAAGAGGGTCAGAAGGGACCTGGGTAATGGCTACGTACACCTCGGGAACCGAGCATGGCAGTTCCCGAGTGTAAGGCCATAGTGTACTGCATAGCCAGCACCCTGGCAAAGAGGCTCAACGGTCAGGCTCTCTTTGGAGGTTTGGTGGACACAGCCTGTTCTGAAAGGGACCAGATGCAGCAGCACACTTTATGGGGACTCGCACTGTGTTCATTCACAGCACAGCCTGTCTGATCTCAGCTCTGAGAGACTTTGCCGTCGAGGTGGCATTAGGCAGTGTCTAAGACTACCACCGGGGGGAAGGACCCACAGGCATCTTCCAGGAAGAGTTCAGAGGTCTCACTGAATGTCCCACAGGGCACAGGAGAGGGCCACAGCAAAGACTCCTGAGCTTACAGCAGCACAGTGGGAGTTAAGAAACCAGTCTTGGTCTTTCCAGAGTCTCTGGACCATGTCCTGTGATAACAGGGAGGAATATCAGGCAGGGAGACTCTGTCTTGGCTTCTCAGGCCCACTCTTTGGTTTCATACCCATTGTAGTGTGGGAGCATATCAGCTGTATCATATACTGAAGAGTATATCCCAATTGGAGGGGGGGGGTGTAAGGCTTTCCCCCTCCCTTAGTGGGATTTAAAATCCAAGTATGCCTACTGTCAGTGGCAGCTTTTCTTTGTGAGATTATAACTTGTTCCCTGGGGTCTCTTATAGCTTCCCCCACCGGGCCTCTTTTTCACCATTCATATATTGGGAGCCCAGAGGGTGACCATGGCAGAGGGCCTGACCTAGCTTCATGACTGTGATAGTGTCACTATGGAGCACAAAGATTCATCAACCGTCCATGTACTGTCTACCTCCTACCCTTCCCTTACATCCCCTCTCCACCTCCCACCCGGCTCTCCACCCTTGCTCTGATCTCCTTCTGCTGCTGTGGTAAACGCTTATCAAAAATGATTTAAGGGAGGACGAGGTTTATTTCAGCTTTAGGTCATAGTCCATCCCCGAGGGAAGACAGCGCAGGAGCTCAGACAAGAAGTTGAAATAGAAACCTTGGAAGAACTCTGTTGGCTGACTTGCTCCCCTGCTTTCTTATACAGCCCTGAACCACCTGCCTAGGGATGGTGCCTCCCACAGTGGGCTTGGCTCTTCCGCACCGCTTAATAACCAAGATAAGCCCCCACAAGCCATGCCTATCTGCCAATCTGATCAATAACCAAGATAAGCCCCCACAAGCCTTGCCTACATGCCAATCTGATCAGGGCAATTCCTTGAGGTTTTCCTCTCAGATGACACTAGGCTGTGTCAAGGTAACACTTAAAGCTGACTGGAGCAATCCTCTGTCTCCCAGCCATCCCCCTCCTCCTCTCCATCCCCCACCCTCCATCCCATCATCTTCTCTTTGCTCTTTCTCGGTATCTTCCCCTCTTTTCACCCTCTTCCATCCTCTACCCTCCACCATCCAACCACCGTCCCTTCACCCGCTTCCATCCATCCTTTATCTATAACCCTCCTAACCCCCCAGCCCCTTCCTAACCCCGCCCTCTACCCTCAAGCCTTCCTCCACTCTCCATCTTCCTGCTAGCTTCGCTCCATCTCCTCTCCTCCCTTCCTTCATCCACCCTCTTTCCTTCTTCCAGCCTCCCCCATCCGCTCTCCAGCCTCCCGTGTCCTCCGTCTTCTCTCCATTAACCCTCCATCTTCGTGCACCATTCCAGGGATCGCAGGGTCTGGTGTTTGCTGTTGTCTTCTTTCCTTATATTTGAATCCAAGTCTCCTAAGTGAGAAGTGAAGAAGTGGCCACTCTATTTCTCTCTATGGGATCACAAGGCACAAGGTTTTGGGTTGGTTGGTTTGTTTGTTGCTGTTTTTCTAACTCTTTCTCTCATTTTAGTTGAACAGAGATTAGACTTTATTGTGGGAAGAGAAACAAACACAGGAAGGAACCTGAGGTTGCTTTAGAGCTGGACCAAATCCTTAGGCTCCTGGGGTTGTAGCCTCTTGTCATGGAGACCCTACAAGGGCCTGGATCTCAGTGCTTTCTGTTTTGTTTGTTTGTGTGAAAGTCACAGTGGTAGCGTATTAACTTATTTAATTTTTTATTATTTTATTTATTGTGTGTGTATGTGTCTATAAATTATGAGTGTCAGCGTGTGTGCCACATCAGAGGTCAGAGGACAGCTTTGGAGGGTTGGTCCTCTCTTTCCACTGTGGCTCACAGGGATCATAATTAGATTGCCAGGCTTGGTGAACAAGCTTGTTTACCCACTGGGCCATCTTGCGGACCCCTGTCAGCCACCTGTATCACTAAATCTGCCACTGTTTCCCATTCCCAGGGAATAGACAGACATCCTGGGGGACTCGAACAAGTAAGCACAAAGGAAGTAGGCCAGGAATCCCTGCCCGCTCTAACAAGGAGTGAAAGTGGGGCAAGGTGACAGTGACTGAGACCTCAGTGAAGAAGTGACATTTAGGACAAGATTTAGGGATGGAATTTAGGATAAGGTAGGGTTGGAGAGGAGTGACTTGACCAGAAACAACCAGGTCAGAGGTCCCTAAGGCAGGAACAGCTCCAGTCACATCAGTGGGCTTTAAAACAGAAGTGGGGTGGGGGGCTGGGCAGGAGGGAGGTTGGGACCGGGTCTGCCAAGCAAGGTGAACCCAAAGAGGAATGCACTGGATTTCATGTTGCATGTGGAGGTGGAAAGGAGTGAGCAGTACTGACTTCATGAGCAGCTGCCAGGCTTATGTTAATAGTGGTGAGGTTTTACACTGTGTGTGTGTGTGTGTGTGTGTGTGTGTGTGTGTGTGCATGTGTGTGCATGTGTATGTGCAGGGCAGTGAAGAAAACCAAGTCAACTTTCCTGTGCATAGACCACAGACATCCCCCGGCCCCTCCTGAAGGAAAACATAGGACACTAAACAATGACGGCAAACTACAGATTAACCCCCACTAAGCTGCACAGGGGTGGGGTGGGGTTGGGGTTTAATTCCAGGGGCCCTCCTGCCTTCCACAGGTCTTCAGGCTCAGGGTAGGGCTGGTTCACTCCTCTCACAATTAACAAAGACAGCCAGGGTTCCGGCTGGGGAGGAGAGATCTAGATACATACCCGAGCCCTCAGAACACATTCTTCTTTTGAAATGTTGGGTGATATTTATGGTGACTACTGGGCCGGGGACCTGGCCTACACTGCCTCTTTCAATGACACCAGAACTGAGGAACCCTGTCGTTTCAGCGGCTTTACTAGAGTTGCCTGCTGCCAGGATTTCTAAATGAAAAGCCATTCAGACCACAACAGAACTCCTGAGAGCGTTTCAGTAACGGCTGGAAACATCAAAGCCCCTCTCTGGGCTGGTGTGGCATGTATTGTGGAAGGATTGGTTTGTGGAGGGAGAGATCGCACCAGGTACAGGGCAGGGAACAGGAGTAAGGAATGGCGTTCTTTGACTGCCATTCCTGAGTCACTTGCAGAGAACAGCGCTGTCCCTCCCTGTAGGGCTGAGGGGGCCATGAGCACAGTCTGTAGCTTGTGCTCAGTACTGAGACCACATTTGTGCCATTTCTGCTCCTCCTATGTCTCGTATGCCCAAGAAACTGGAATTTTTAACTTGCTTTAATTTAATAACTTTAAAAATATTCGGGGACAGGTTTATGTTTATAAGTAGGTAGGAAAAAATAGCACACAAAGTCCCCGTACAGCCTTTCTTTTCTAATTAAATTTTGGAGAAGAGGATGATAGCACTGGGGAGGGGACCCAGGGCCTCTGTAGGCTAAGCGAGCGCTCTGCCCTGAGCTGCAGTTGCAGGCTGCCCTGCAGATGGTCCACGCACTCTCCCTAAACATGTCCACTGCATCCAGCGTCCATTGCCCGAGCAGGAAGTGAGCCTCACCTGTTACTCTTAACTAAATGCCGGGCTTTATCTGGACTTGGGAAGTTTTCCATGGATGCACTTTTTCTAGTCGAGGATGCTGCCCTGAAGCTCTGCTGCATTATGATTTTATTTAAATTAGGTTTGCTAAAAAGTCACCTGCAACCAGTGGATGGTGCATTTAA